CACCTTCTTGCCTCCAGAATTACCATCTTCTATCTGTGGTGTTTTCTTCTTGAGAAAAGAAAAGGGGCGGGGATATGACCTTGATTTGTATTTATTTGAGACAAGGCAGGACCCTACTTTCTTAGACTCTCAAGCCTTTGCACTTAATCTCCCCAGAGCACATTACATCTTCTAAGGCCACCTGGGAAACGGCAGTTGGCCCTTCAAACAACCTGTTCTAAGAAGGCTTCCCTACTGTTCTCTACCTAAGCAGAATTGCTCTCTTCCGTTGTCATAGCATCATTAGTCATGACTCTCAAAAGTATTTTGTCACATTTTATGGAGTTAATCACAGCCCTCTTCACCTGCCACAACAAAGTTCTCAGAGCAAAGATTGGTCTTTCTTTCATGTGTTTATCCTAGCACCTCAAAATAGTTGTAGCTGTTAAATAAATGCTGTCATATTGCATTCAGTCTTTGTGGAGCTACAGTGTCTGTTTCTAAAGTGAATTAGAATGAGGTCAAGAAATGGTACAGGATGAGCTACTAAGTTCCAAGATAGGCTTCTACTTTCCTCACAAAACTTTTGTTTCTCAGCTGTATGAATTACAGGCAAAGCCTCCTGGGTGTCTAAGGCCACAAGAGAACAATGGCAGTGTTTTAGTAACAGATCAAGAAAGGGCTAGTTCTGTTTCATGCTCCACTAGAAGTATAGGTCCTTTTAATTCTCTTTTCAACACATGTGGTTACCGAGATACACCTATCAAGTGGGAGTTGGTAGGGTGCTTGTCTAGGATGCTCAAAGTCCTGTATTTGATCCCCAGCTGGATGTAGAGGTGTAGACCTCTGATCCCGGTATACAGCAGCTAGTGTCAAGAGAATTAGAAATTAAAGGGACACTATAAGTATCTTATATACCCATGGTTGGGAGGAGGAGGTCGGTCCAAAGGAAAGGTTGAAGCTGGCAGGTGGGGGGACCACTGGCTAGCCTTCCTGAAACAATGTCAGGTATGAACATGTTGGACCATCAAGGAGGTCTAAACAGACTCAGCAAGAAGCTGGAACTGGACCTAAAGCCATCGGTGAGCTGTGGGACTACACTGGCAGTGTAGCATGGAAGTTGCCTCTTGCCAAGCATTTAGTTGCCGGCTTGAGATCATTAGCAGGGTTGGTGGTTCTGAGCAAGAAGCAGGGAAGAAATAGACCCACTACAGCCTACCAGTCGTTCTCCACCATGGCTCTCTCACCGCGTTCAGACAGCCTTGCAGCTGCATTCCTTCCTCCTCCGGCTCACAGGCTGATCTTGGGGCCACTTGTACCCACAGCCGTACTGGGTGACAGGTTCTGGGAAGTTTACTTCATAGCCAGGTTGGCACTAAATAAACTATACTGTACCTCAAAATTTGAGAAATTGAATTGTTTCAATTTTACAAGCAGTACTCATTTGAACAGTAAAAGGAAAAGCTAAGAAAGAGTGAATCATTGTTTAAAGAATTTCTAGGTAGTGCTTCGCTGCACCCTTTCAGAACACATTTCAGAGACAAATTGTTGTATATAAATGCTAAATACTACTAAAATGTTATATAAACAATTCTTTGTCTTGTTATTGGTCAGCATATGTGTTTGTCAGGGTTCTCTAAAGGAACAGAACTACAAAGAATGATGGCACACCTTTGGTAGGCAGACAGGTGGTCTTAAGTTCAAGCCTACTTGTCATACCAAAAACCAAGTTCCAGGACAGCCACAGCTATATATAGAGAGAGCCTGTCTCAAAAAATAACAGGAAAGACTGGACATAGTAGGACACACTTTACCAGCAGCACACAAGAGAAAGAGGCAGGCAAAGCTCTGTGAGTTTGGGGATAGCCTGGTCTATATAATGAGTCCAAGATTACATGAAGCGACCCTGTTTCAATCAATAAATGGGACCTCATGAAACTGAAAAGCTTCTGTAAAGCAAAAGACACTGTGGTCAGAACAAAACAGCAGCCTACAGACTAGGAAAGGCTCTTCACCAACCCTATATCTGACAGAGGGCTGATATCCAGAATATATGAGGGACTAAAGAAGTTAAAAGCAGTAAATCAAGCAACCCAATTAAAAAATGGGGTACGGAGCTAAACAGAGAATTTTCTGTAGAGGAATATAGAATGGCAGAGAAACCCTTAAAGAGGTGCTCAACGTCCTTAGCTATCAGAGAGATGCAAATCAAAACAACCCTGAGATTTCACCCATGAGAGAGATGCAAATCAAAACAAGATTTCACCTTACACCCCTCAGAATGGCTAAGACCAAAAACTCAAATGACAACACGTGTGGAGAAAGGGGAACCCTTCTGCATTGCTGGTGGGAATGTAAACTTGCACAACCACTTTGGTTGTGCAATCTGGCGCTTACTCAGACAATTAGGAATAGCACTTCCTCAAGGTCCAGCTATACCACTCCTAGGCGTATATCCAAAAGATGCTCAAGTACACAAGGACGTTTGCTCAACCATGTTTGTAGCAGCTTTATTCATAATAACCAGAACCTGGAAACAACCCAGATGCCCATCAATGGAGGAATGGATACAGAAATTGTGGTACTTTTACACAGTGGAATACTACTAAGCAATTAAAAAGAAGGAAATCATGAAATTTGCAGGCAAATGGTGGCATCTAGAAAAGATCATTCTGAGTGAGGTATCCCAGAAGGAGAAAGACAGACACGGTATATACTCACTTATAAGTGGGTAGTATACCTAGGATAAACATACTGAAATCTGTACTCTAAAGAAAATAAACAAAAAGGAGGACCCGGGGTAAGATGATCAATTGTCACGTAGATAGACAAATGGGATGGACATTGGATGTAGGAGAAAACAAGTAACAGGACAGTAGCCTACCACAGAGGGCCTCTGAAAGACTCTACCTAGCAGTGTATCAAAGCAGATACTGAAACTCATAGCCAAACCTTCGGCAGAGTGCAGGGAATCACATGAAAGAAGGGGGAGTTAGTATGACCTGGAGAGTACAGGAGCAAATATATCTGGGCACAGGGGTCTTTTATGAGACTGTATCTTCAACCAAGGACCATGTATGAATACAACCTAGAACCCCTACTCGGATGTAGCCCATGGTAGCTCAGTATCCAAGTGGGTTTCCCTAGTAAGGGGAACCAGGACTATTTCTGACATGAACTCAATGGCTGGCTCTTTGACCTACCCCTCCCCCCAAGGGAGGAGCAGCCTTGCTAGGACACAGAGGAGGACTTTGCAGCCAGTCCTAAAGATACCTGATAAACTAGGGTCAGATGGAAAGGGAGGAGATGAGGGAGGGAGGGATTGGGAGGGAATGAGGGAGCAGGATACAGCTGGGATACAAAGTTAATAAACTATAACTAATATTTAAAAAATAAAAATTTAATTAAAAAAGAGGCCCTGTTTCAAATAAATAAATAAATAAAATTGAAGGAACAGAACATGATAGAATAATATAAATTAAAAGTAGATTTATTAGAATTGCTTACAGGCCGTAGTTCATATAGTTTAACAATGACTATTTCACAATGGGTAGATTTTTCAGTCCATAAGACTGGATGTCTCAGCAGTCCCAATATGGGACTGGGATCCTAGAGGATTCCCACAAAACTGCTAGTATTCAGTCTGTTTTAGAATCCTAAAGAAGTAGCTTCTAATACCACCGAAAGAACGTCCCAGTGACAGGATAGATGAACTTGCCAGCAAGAGTGAGGGCAAGCAGGCAAGCAAAGCAAAAGCTGTCCTTTTATGTGGGCTGCCACTAGAAGGTGCGGCCAAACTTAGGGCAGATCTCCCGCCTCAAATGATCTAATCTACAAAACCCCTCACTGGCATGCCCGATTTTAGAGGCAGGTTTTAGATGTGGTCAAGTTGACAACCAAGTTTAGCCATCACAGCTTAGAACTTTGGTAGAGCTTTTAAACTAATCATCTCAAGATCTTCTAAGACCTAAGAAGAAGAAGCAGTGATTATTCTGTGTAGTGCCAGTAATTTCTGTGTATCTCATCTAATTCCAAATCCATGAGGCTCCTAAAAATAAAGTAGCCTAAGATTAATTAAGTTCACATAGGAAATTAAAACTTCACCCAGAATTTAGAATCATTTACATCTTAGGCTGGCTTGCTTGCTTTTTTCCTGACTTAGCTGGTTATTCTTAGTAATTTTTTAAATAGTTCTGGGAGAATTTCACATAATGTATTTTTGAGCACATTCATCTCCTCAGCTCCCATTACTACCCTCCCATCTCTCCCAACTCAAGTTGAGATTTCTTCTTCTTTGAATCCAGTTTGTGTTGCCCGGGCAGGCACTCTTGAGAGTGGTGCCTGCCCTGACGTGTGGTCAGCCCACGGGATTCTGCTTACCTGGGTATTTTATCCTACCTCCCTGCATCCTTCCCTCCCTCCCTCCCCTTCTCTCTTGTGTTTTGCTAACCCAGTTTCTCTCTTTTTCTTTTTTAACATTCATCTGTGCATTTATCGTGCATTTCTGTGTGCACGCATGAGCCACGGTGACTGTGTGTCAGAGGACAATTTGAGACAGTTCAGTCTGTCCCTTCACCATGCAGGCAGGGATGGATTTCAGGCCATCAGACTTGGCAGGAGGTGCCCTTAACCACTGAGACATCTCACCATTCCATACCCTACCTTTTAAAAAAATAAACGTGTTTATTTAAGGGTTAACATTTACATTAAAGTACATAAGCCAATCTGAAGGGTAAGTGTCTCTGGTGATTTTCTTCATGTCTGTGTGTTGGTGCAATCGCCATCCAAATAAAAGCACAAACCTTCCGTAGCACCCTTGACTGATTTCTCCTTGGGCTCTTCATTCTTCCCGAGTAAATGATCTTGTATATTTATATTTTGTACAATGGATGATTCAATTTGTGGGGAAATGCTGGTGGAAAGTTAACATTAACTGCAAAGTGAAGATGTTAGTGTGTCTCACAACTGCATGGAATTACGTCTCCTTACACCACTTTCTCTCTGTTTTTGCCCTACAACAGGAAATCAGATCCTGTCTCTTGGGAGTCTCTCAAAAGATCAGATTTATCCAATGAAACTCAAGGGCATCTCCATCTGCTATTCAGCTCTCAAGTCTGCCTTATGTGGAAATTATGTCAGCTTTGGAGTCTTCAAGTTGTATGGGGACAACCATTTTGACAATGTACTCCAGGCCTTTGTCAAAATGCTGCTGTCTGTGTCTCACAGTGACTTGCTGGTAAGCACTGCTTTGCCATGGGGCTCTTCATGCACAATGTGAAGTGCCAGCACCACAGGCCTGAAATTGTCACAGGGAAGCCCAGGGAATTCAAATACCACCACATTTTATGTTTCAACACATCATGCTTGCTCCAGATTTAACCAGATCTGGACAGCTACAGTAATTAGTTATATAATTCAATGCACAGGCTAAAAACGTCACCACTTTCACTCCTAACCACTTGGTCATCCAAAGTGCTTTAGCTTCTTCATATGAGAGACAGATTTAATAATGGCAGTGAATTGCTTTCAGCTATATTCTTGATTCAAAAAGGGAAATAGAGGATTGGGTGCATGTTTTCCCCTTCCTTTTATTCTACTCTTTAGCTTCTTGCTGTTTGATCTTCCTTTGTATTAGAATTTGGCTGTGGCAGACAGTGTTAAACTGAGAGTTGAGTGACCTGATATATTAAATACTATTTATTTAGTAATTTACCTTGAGTTAATCACCTCTCTTCTCTGGGCCACACTTTTTTAATGAGTGGCCTTTAAAATGTGATTTCTTAGCCCCTTTTCTGTGTTGACATTGAGCTTCTGTGATGTATGTCAGTGATCTTTAAACTTTGAAACCTTTCAGAAATGTCTGGGATGCTTGTTGGAAATGCAAATTTCTAGACTTCTCTGGCTTGTCTCCACAGAGATTCTTTAAAGTTTCTGCCAGTTTGTAGAGAAGTGATTGTATGCGCAATGTATTTTCCGCACTTGTTAAAGTGACCAAATTCAGCACTGGGTTAACTGAAACTTTCCCCCCTGCTCCCACCCAAAAGTTCCATGAATGATATGAAGAGCTTCTGTGAAAAATGGTCCTGGACCTTACAGTGGCGTAGAGCATAGCACCTCAACCCAGGCTTTGAGGCCTCCTTGCAGCAGAGCAAAAAGCTCTGAACACTCTGCCTGTGAGCAAAACTTACAAAGTAATAACTGGAACCTAGTCAGTTACCATGTTCAGCAGCCTCCTTGATGGGACTTTTCACTACGTTGTGCTCCTTCACAAAAAATCATCAGTGGTTCTCAAGCCCAAGGGGACATAGGACTGTATTTACCATCTATGAAAAAAATGCTTATCTCAAGGCCACACTTGAGAGCTTTTTTTTGAGTGAGTCTAGAGTGGGGATTGGAAAACCACATCTTGAGTAATCAGGCTCACAGAAATGTTCTCATCTCACTAGATGTCATACTACTCTGGGTTATATTTGCCATGATTGTTGCGCCTTGATATTGTTTTATGTTACATTTGAGATTTCCCAGGTGACTTCTCATACACTGTCTCTTGTCTTTAGAATGTTATAAATAATAAATCATTTACCAAATGATAATCTGGCTAAATGGTCGGCCTTGTACAGATGCTAGCAGGCTGAGGTGCCATATCCATGTGGCTTGACATTTACTCTCTCTCTGTACAGCAATACCGAAAACTGAGCCAGTCTTACTATCCGCTCCTGGAATGTCTCACCCAGGACCACATGAGCTTCATCACCAACCTAGAGCCTCCTGTGCTCCTGTATGTTCTCACATCTCTCTCGGAGGGGCTCACCACTCTTGGTAAGGACCACAGAGAACATTGTTCTCCACGGGAAAGGCTTGATGTGTTTCTTCTGTGTTTGTGTTCATTGACGTTTTTGTCCTATAAAGGGAAAAGAGATGTTATCAGTGCAACTGAACGATTATTTTATAAGCTATTACTTGCAAAAGGGAAAATACACTTTAATATTTTGGTAATTTTATCAGTTTTGAGATTCAGTTTAAATACATACATATTAATGAATCAGCAGTGTGTAAAGTATTTGCATTATTACACAAAGCTCCAGTGTGTCCCCATCAGAGTTACTCCTTACTCTTAACCCTACTCCAAGGAAACTACTGTCTTTCTCTTTCTAGAATCATGTATAAATGAACTCTGAAAACAGGAAATCATTTGTATCTTGTTTTTTCATTTAACATAATGCCTTTAGGAGTCATCTGTGTTGTTTTTAGATCAGTGTGCTTATTCCTTCCTTTTGCTGAGTATTACTGCATCATATGGATTACCACACTTTGTTTATTCATAGAGCATCCAAAGGCTGGTAGGATTGTTTTCATTACTTGACTATGTTGAGTATAGATACAATGAACATTCATGCACAAGTCTTCATGTGACATTTCTTTGTGTTTCCTTTGAATGAATACCTAGGGTAGGATTTCTGGGTTGTATGCTATCAGTTTTACTATGCTGGAATGCCATTTCTCAATGTGGCTACAGTGTTTTGTGCCAACAGTGTAGAAAAGGTCCCAGCTGTTCCTCATCTATACACTTGCAGTGATTCTTTTTAGACTGAGCCATCCTAGTATATATAAAATGGAATCTTTTTTGTGGTTTTATTTCCATATCACCATTGAATAATTTGAGGGTATTTCTATGCTTATTTGTTATTTGTGTATTGCATCAGTATTCTATTTCTGCAACAAAATACTTGAGAGAAGTCAGCATACAGAAAGGTATGTTCCTATTTTGGTTCACAGTTTCAGAGATTTAGGTTTGTGGGCCCACGTCCCTCAGTTTGGGCCTAGTGGCAGGAGGCATTTGATGGAACAAAGTTTCTAACCTCATGATGACCAAGAAGTAGGGAGAACAAAAAAAGAACAGGTCTGAAGTCAGATGATATACCTCAGAGACATACTTCAGTAACCAACTTCCTTCAACCATTCCCTGGTAGTACATTCAGTATGAGTTCATTGATGACTAAGCCATTCATGAAGTCAGCACCCTCATGATCCAATCACTCTCAGTGCAGCAGTGACGGACCCACACAGGAGCCTTTGGTAAAACTTGAGATCCAAACAGTAACCTGCATTATCTTCATGAAGTTTTTGTTCAAATCATTCCCTCTGTTTTGTTTTGTTTGTTTGTTTGTTTGTTTTTTTCTTAACTGAGTGGTTTATTTTGTTGGTGATTTGTAAGTTGTTTTATTCTAGATACAGATTGTTTTTTTCCTTTTGGGGGGAAGTTTGTTTGTTTGTTTGTTTGTTTTTTCGAGACAAGATTTCTCCTGGCTGTCCTGGACTCACTTTGTAGACCAGGCTGGCCTCAAACTCAAAGAAATCTGCCTGCCTCTGCCTCTCAGAGTGCCAGAATTACAGGCCTGCACCACTGTGCTCACTGGATACAGATTCCTAATCAGATAAGAGTCACAAATAATTTCAGCTCATGACGTGTCCTTGTGTTCTCCTAACAATAGCATCTATAAAGGAAAAGTTTCTATTGAAGAAATCCAGTAGTTCTTTAGCCTGAAGCCATAAAGATTTCCCATTTTCTTCCAAAAGTATTATCAGTTTGTCTCTCATGTTTAAATGTATGATTCATTTCAATTTAATTTTTACCTATGCTTTAGGAATCAAACATTCTTTTAAAACATAAATACTTGATTGTTCTAGAACCTTTTATCTTTTACTTACTTGTCTTATACTAGCCCTTAAATGCTGTAGTACAGTCCTTTAATATTGTTCTCTTAAAAATTATTGTAACTGTGAGTTCTTTGCCTTTTCATAGAAATTGTAGGATTAACCTGTGTTTCCCCACCCCTACCTTCAAACAAAAGAGGAGGGGAATTTTGCTTAGGATGTCATTGAATTTGACATTATTGTCATAAGATTGTTTCTAGTATCTGTCTGCTATCCATTGTGTCTTAATTGTCTGTCTGTATTAATCTGCTCATCTATAATGTCCACCTGCTATCGGTGTGTCAATAGTCTCTACAGTGATGTCCTGATACTGGTCATTGACCCATACCTTTTCCTCTCCTCATCACCATTCTATCTATAATGTTTTTATTTGATGATTTTTCTGATTTCTTTCTCTAGGTATAGTCTTTCCTTCTTCAGTTTACTTTGCTTTCTCTTTCTAGTCTTGTTTTCAGATGAACGTATCGCTCATTGATTTTAGACCTTTAGACCTTCTTTTATAGTATATACATACACTGCATCAGCACAACTGTGAGCATATCTCAAAGATTATACGTATTCTGATTTGCTGTTACTCAAAGATGTCTTAATATTTCATCCGTTCTTTGAGGATCTCATAACATGTATATGTGGCGTACCTCTGTACCTGCACCCTACTCACCCCACCTGAACTTTCCTCAGATCCCACCCAACTTGTCCTTTTTCTTAGGTTTTTTTTTTTTTTTTTTTTTTTTTTGAGCCCAGGCAGTGCTGCCTGCCCATATGCTCATGGGTGGGGCCATCTATTGGAGCTTGCAAACCTAACCGTGGATACCCTGAAAGAGCAATTGCTGTCTTCCCCAGGGGCCATCAACTCCTAATAGTTCTTTGGCTTGGGTGGGTTTCTTGAGTCTCACCCCAGTCTTTCCTTGAGTTTTGACTGGCTTATTCTGCAGGTAGCCACAGCTGCTGTGAGTTGAGGAGACCATTGGCCATGTCATGCCCAGAAGACAGCATTTCTCCATGTCCTCCAGCACTTAATTCTTCCTGCACCCCTCTTCTGAGATGTCCCCTGGGTCTTAGGAATTGAGGACTTGATGCAGATGTCCCATTTAGGGATAAGTACCTATAGTCACTCATTCTTGGCACTTTGATCAGTTTTGAACCTCTGCTTTCCATGGCAAAAAGAAGCTTCTTTAACCAAAGTTAAGAACAGTTCAAATCTGTGGGTATAAACATGAGTACCCAGAAGGCTATTTGACAGAAAGACCAGAAAGTCTCTTTATTGTTCTGCTGATTTTCTTCTTTGTTGTTGTTGTTTTGGTTTTTGTTTGTTTGTTTTTAGTTTTTATTTGTTTGGGGGTTTTGTTTTTGTTTTTTGTTTTTTTTTTTTTCAAGACACAGTTTCTCTGTGTAGCCTTCTCTGACCCAGACTCAATTTGTAGACCAGGCTGACCTTGAACTCACAGGGATCCAGATGCCTGTGGCTCCTCGAGTGCTGTGATTACAGGTGTGCACCACCCTGCCTGGCTGCGTCCTACTGTTTTTCATTTGAGCATTAGGTGATTCCTTTGAAATGTAATAATTAGTTTTCAATTATTTGAAGATGTTCTTTATTCTATAATTGAGTGTAATTTTATTCCATTATGTTCATAGAATATACTCAATGATTTATTTGGTTTTTTTTATTTTGGTTTTTCGAGACAGGGTTTGTCTGTGGCCTCTGCCTTCCTGAGTGCTAGGATTCAAGGCCTGCACCACCACTGCCCAGCTGATTAATGACTTTCTAAAAATCTATATTCTTACTAGTTGGTTGCATAATTTCTTTTATCTACTTGTTCTGTGAATTGGCAAGAGAAAAATACTAAAGTCTTAGCTATAATTACAGATTTGTTCTAAGTCTCTGCCTCTGTTTAGTTCTACCACTTTTTTTACTAAATAGTTCAAAGCTCCTATCAGGTGCATAAATATTTGAAATTATGGTATTCCTTTGATGAACTTACCTTTTTATTATTCAAAATTACCCTCACGATCTGTGGCAAATGCACCTCATCCCCAAATAAATATATGTAATAAGAAAACCCATGATGTTATTAGAACATTCAGAGAGAAGAAATTTGCCACAGTGTTCATATGGAGGTCAGAGGACAACTTGCAGGGGTCAGTTCTCTCTTTCAACTGTGACGGTCCCGGGGACCAAGCTTAGGTTATGAAGCTTGGCAGTAAGCACCTTTTCCCACTAACCCGTCTCATCACCCTTATTGTCTTATAAATGCGCCTTTATATTTGAAATTGATTATTCTTTGATTACAGGGCACATGCATTTCTTTTTATTTGTTTATTTGATTGGTTGATTTGGTTTTTCAAGACAGGGTTTCTCTAGTAGCCCTGGCTGTCCTGGAACTCACTCTGTAGACCAGGCTAGCCTCAAACCCATCAAGATCCACCTGCCTCTGCCTCCCACATGCTGGGGTTTTAGGCATGCGCCACCACTGCCTAGCTCAGCATGTGCATTTCTTATTTCTGCTATAACTGTCAGGGACTTGATACCTTAAAACCTAAATGTATTTTATTGCTGTTTTATACCCTCTATGTCTGGCATAGGTCTCACTGAGTTAAATAAGGATGTCAGCAAGGATATATGTCTTGAGAGATATAGACATCTATAGTCCTTGGTTTGTGGCCCAACATCTTGATCATCTCAGAATTCTAAAAAAAAAAAAAAAAAAAAAAATCTTTCTTCCCGTCCTAAGGACCCTTAGGTTTACACTGGGGCTTTCTTGGGTAATACCAGCCTAATTCCCACTGTGAAGGCTTGTATGTTCACAGTTTCTGGGGACTAAGACATGGATGTTCTCCTGTATACATCATGTAGTTAGGATTAGACTTGTTTATCAGAGCTGATGTTTTCTGCTGTTTAAATAGTTTCAGGTGTTAGGTTTAACTCCCCATATATTCAGGTCTGAGTCTGCAGTGTTCATGCTTCCTTTCCTACCTGATCTTTGCCTTTTATTTGCCTTTTTCTTCCATCTTTTTGTTTAGATTGAACCTACTTGTTTTAATTTATTGGGTTTAAACCAATAGAAAGGATTTTTTTGGTGGTGGTGGTGGTGGTCTGTTTGGTT